AAGTAATTTTTTTAAGTCACTAAGAGGAAGGAGGATAAGATTTTGCTTTAGGACTTTTTTTTAATTTTTTATGGGTGAAATGGATTTGGGATAATTCTTGCAAGGAATCTTTGAAATTAATCAAAAATAAATTAACAACAAATTATGTTCTTGTGCATTTTCAGCCTGCGTTGCCGATTAAATTAATCGTAGATGCATCAAATGTGGGAATAAGGGCCATGATATGTTGTTTTTGAAAAAAATATTGAAAAATCTATAACTTCTGCTTCGCGTACCTTATCAAAGCCCAAACAAAAATATTCCCAAATTGAAAGAGCAATAATTTTTGGCTTAAATAAATTTAATGAATATATGGACATTTCTTCATCCTAGTTACAGATCACTTACCTCTGGCAACTATTTTTAACCCAGCTAAAGATATACCCCAATTTTCAGTGAACAGACTACGTAGATGGGCAGTAATATTGTCAAATTACAATTATAAAATTGAATATGTGAAATCGGAACATAATATAAAGCCGATTTTTTATCACGTTTACCTATTGAAAGTCAAAATAAAGAAACATTTAAAAAATATTTTTTAATTATGTGTTTTATCTGTTGAGGGCTCTATCAAATATTTCGCTTTTCAAAAGGTTCCGTCGCCAAAAAAGTTTGAGAAACACTGCTCTATAATAATATAGGATCTATCCATTTAATTTACATTTTGTTATTTTCTCTAATTTTGACATATAAAGTAATATATTTTGTAATCGCAGCAAGTGCCAAAATGATCTACTTTATGCAACCAGTTGCATAAAGTAGAACATTATGCAACTGATTACGAAAAGTTGATTATGTCACCAGATACGAAATCAAAATAAATAAAACTGCCTCTTTTTGGTTTTTAAGTCGAAAAATCGAGTAATCTAAAAATCGAAAAACCCAAAAATCAAAAAATCCAAAAATCCAAAAAAACGAAAAATCGAAGAAACCAAATATTGAAAAAAGCAATGAATAGTGACATTTCACATTTGAAAATATGACATTACGTTTAACAACAAAAAAGAAAAGCTGTAAATTGCGTTTTATTTTTAACCGACTTCAAAAAAGGAGAAGGTTCTCAATTCGTCGCAATATTTTTTTTATGTATGTATGTTCAGCGATAATTCTTTAACACGGTCTCCGATTTCAATGATTCTTCTTTTATTAGAAAGGGGGTACTTCAGGGGTGGTCCCATATAAATTTGGTTAAAATCTAATAATTGGGTCCATGAGAAAATCCTCAAGTTCTTCATTTTTTATGTATGTTTAGCGATAATGCTTTACCACCTTGTCCGATTAATATGATTCTTTTTTTGTTAGTAAGGGGGTACCTCAGGGGTGGTTCCATATAAATTTGGTTAAGATGTGGTGATGGCATCTGCACGTTTCTTGAAGTCGGTTTTTTTAAATTTTTAATTTCTAATACTTGTTTAAATAATTAAACACTGTTATTGAAAACTACCTAGAAATGTTAGGGGTAAAATTTTGACTTACTCCTTTAAGGATAATGGGTAAAAATTGTTTTTTTTTAAATTTCTTGTAGAAAAAATCTTGTGTGTAATTCGAGCAAAAAGTACTTTGGCTGTTTCGATAACTTTTTGTCTCAACAGCTGTTTTATTATAATAATTTTATAAACTTTTACTTAGGGTCGATTTCACCGTTTTGTTTTAAAATACTAAACGAAGATTAAAATGACATTTTTATATTAACAAAAATTAAGTTTAAATTACTAAATGGAGTTTAAAATGACATTTTTACATTAACAATGTCATTTTAATCTTCGTTTAGTAATTTAAACTTCGTTTGACACAGCGGTGAAATCGGCCCTTAGCTAGTTATATATTGATAAAGTGTTATTACCCTCATCATAAATGAATTGTGCTAACAAATAAAATCAAAAAAAGTCTCATAATTTTTCATCTTTTAGTTACCTACCAAAATTAGGTACTACAATACAAATATTTAAGTCCGGCCCAGAACATCTCCCTACTCCTTCCACCCAGTTTTTCGGTTTTGGCAAAATTCGCGCAGTGACAAATGCTTCCTATGTTACCTCTACCCTTTCTAACCTCTTTGGTATTTACACACCAAAAACAAAAAAAAAATAAACAGAAACTGGAACTAGTCAAACTAATTTCAAAAATAAATGAATAAAAATAAAGCTACAAAAAATGTAGCCCTAGTCGTCATCAGAGAATTCATCGTCGGACTAACTATTGAGGTCAATTATAACTGGCTGTACAGGTGGCAGAAGAACATATTCCTGTTCTTTAGAAACTACATGTGATATACTGTTTTTCCAAATATCACTGTGTTCATCATTAAAAACCAACTATATACGTTCAACAACTTGTTTGCTTAAATTCGGGGATTGATTTATCTTTCGTAATTACTTTTAATGTATGCCCATATTAATTCTATCGGATTAAATATGCAATAATAGGGAGGTAGGCGAAGCAGAGTATGATCGTGCGTCTTACAAAGTTCATCTATATAATATTCCTTTTCAAAATTCTGTTTTTCTATAATCTCTAGTAAAACTTTGATTGGATTTTTTTGAGTTTTTCTCTTTTATAAATTCCAAAATATTACTTTTTTTAGTTCTTCGGTTAGGAATTGTTCTAGTTTGACGCGAATGATAAGAGGCATTGTCAATGACGATAACGGTTTCCTTAGGAATATTAGGTAATAGCTGTTCTTTAAACCATTTTTCAAATAATTACGCCGTCATATCCTTATGATAATCAGCATAGTACTTTTTAATTTGTTTAGCTGATAATAACAAAGCATTAAGGACAAAACTATTTATACTTCCTGCGTGCAAAATAACTATTCTTTTTCCTCTAGAGGAAGGCGTTTGCAAACAACAATTTTTGGAGTCATCAAACCATCCATAATTAACGACATCATGACTATCAAACCACGTTTCATCCAGGTATACGATATGTCGATTACTATCACGAAAATTTTTAATTTTGTGCAAATAATCCTGACGAAGCCTAACAATTCGTTGTGATTCCATTATCACTATTTGTTTGTCCAATTTCTTATGTCTAAATCTACAATCTAATAAAATTTGACGCAATGTTTCTAGGGACTTGTTATTATAGTCGGGGTAATCTAATAATTTTCTTTGAATACACTCTAAAGTAGGAACTTAATTTTCTTGATACATTTTATAAATTGTCCTACGTATAAATTGCTTTCCACTTATATCAATTTTCGCAAGCTTTTGATTAACTCTCTCTTTGTACAAAATGGTCAGTTACATCTCCTTTTAAAATAATAATACGATAAATAGTTGTTCGTTTCAATTTCGTTAGTTCACATATTCTTCTTATTATAAAGTTGTCGGATTTTTCACAATTTTCTCTTTTCAAACATTCAAAAATATTTAAAACAAGGCTCTGTGTTTGAACATGTAAATCTTTATTTTTAAATTCCCAATCACCTTCTTCAGTATTCTCTGAATCACAGTCAATGTTCTCATTATCCTGTGACATTTTACTATTTGCCTCAAACGGTCTCCAAAATGCCATATTAAAACTGTCACAGATAAACTTCCACTCAATATTTCTTTACTTTTAGTGCAATCAGATAAACTGATTTTTGACGCAATTATTAAATTCACTTAAAATTCTAAAATATATATATATATATAAAGATTTTTTTATCTGAAAAATAAGAAACTATCAAAAAACCCAAATACGCGGTACTGAAATTTATTACCTAGCGACTCAATAATATTGTGATGATAACATAGGCAAGATAATGCGAAAATACAGCTGGTCTACTGCTTTGTCAAATGATAAAGTGTCACTAGTAATACAAGGCTAGACCCGTATTTATTTAGCCCAATACTATGTAGCTTTAGCATTAGCAAAATATATAAACGGAGTACTCTTTGTACGCTAGTTATGTTTTTCACTATTCCAACTGACTTTGGAAATACTATACTGTGGTGCCACTAAATACTTGTACTTAAGCCATTCTTCTTTCGAGAACTTCTAATTTATGGTGCAGCGTGTCGTTCTGCTATTGCAATTTCTTCATTCTTCCTGTTCTTGTTTAACCTTTTTCTATGGTATTTTAGCACATCTGACACCATGTATTGTGTTGTTGGTTTGCGGTTGGTGTATAGAAAAACACGTTGGAAGTTACGAACGGTTTATTCCAGATATTGAATCTATAAAGAGAATGATATAATAACGATATTGTCGAGCGATCGCCCGCGTATTCGGTTGTCATGTTAAGTGTCAGTCATGAATTGACACTTGACATTTAACGAGTGATAATTAGGCATTCCAACGACCTATCAAAATGCTGACAAGTGAGTACTGACGTTTAGATATGGCAACCCTGTAGCCTACTGTTTGACAGGGTCAATGATACATATATAGTTGTATAGATTGCTAAAAGCGGGTCCTTTTTGCGAGCGTCCATATTGCCTTCCAAGTGTTCATTAATCAGAATCAGTTTAGCAAAAATGTGTTTTAAAACCAATTTTCAGCATTTGAATATAGTGAAAAAATAATTACCTAAATTTTTACTTCAAGGCATAAACATGTTTATTTTGAAAAATATGGATGATCAATCTATATAACTATCTAGTTAATTGACCCTGTCAAATCACTAGGCTTACAGGGTTGCCATAATAAATAACCTGTCAAAACCCTCTGGTAGCCATTTTGTTTGGAATGCCTAATAAGGTTGTTCGACAATTATTAATCTAAGCTGGATTAGTAACCAATGTTACCAACTACCGTACAAAAGAGATATTTAACTTCTGTTTGAATTATTATTATTGAAACTAGCAAAAACTTTAATAAAGAATAACATTTTCCCTGAAAGTTAAAAATAAAAAAGTTTTTCCTCATTTTTAGTCCATCTAGGGACACCCTCTATGTATTTATAACCATTTTGCTTTAAAATTAATTTTTTTTAAATAATCACAATCTGACTATTCTATTTTCAGCAACAAACTTCTACTAATGGCACACGGATTTTTAAATAAAGAATTATCGACTGAAAATATATCAGAAGAAGCCTATCAAAATGCGTTAATACATGCAAATAATACATTCAACATTACAGAGTGTTCGTTAGCAAGAGAATTAGATGCGGTAAGTAACTTATTACATAAATTGTGTTTAATTAAGTATTTACCTACAATGCTGTCCTTATTAAGTTTGGAATATTTATGAAAGCGAAAACTATCAACGTTGTTTTTCTTGTTCGCTAACAACCCAGCAATTAATGCAACGTTGCCACATTGGTTTTTATAATATGTCAATATTTATCGTTGTCATATTTTTCATTCACGATAATTGAATAAAACTGATAATTTTTGTTAATATTGCTTGGATAGTATTGAATTATTTCACGTTAGATACTCTTCTTTATCCTAATAGATCAATAATTTTTAATTAATAGGTTTGTTCCATTAGTTAATCTGATTATCAGAAGGACGTCAGACGCATGCGCATTGAAAATAGTCCGTTCCTACAAAGCCACGGATAATCCGTAAAACTCTCGATAAGCCATTCAAACGTATTAACGTATTTTCTGATTCGTACATGAATGAGTCGGAGGATTGTCAAAACGATCAGAACTTCTTCGCTTGTACACTTTGTCAGCACATGCGCATTTGAACATCTCTTCTCGTTTCTGCTATTTTTGTTTGTTATTGTTGTGATTTTAAGTTAGCTTGGAGTGGCTTGGGTTTTTATTTCTTTTAATTGAAAGTAATAATTTTCGTTTTATCTTGTGTACGTTTTTTTAAATAAAACAAGTGCTTATTTTTAATAAAAATAAACATTTTAATGTTTCAAAATTTTACATTTACATAGATCGTTCGAGGCAGCTAAATAGATGTATTATGTTGTATTTTAAATAATGTTTAAAATATCAATTCACCAAATATGTGACTGGTTTGTCCAATTCCATTGCATTTTGCGTTCCAATAAATACAAGTCGCTAATAAAATAACGGACAAATAAATGGACTGACATGCGCAATGATTAGTTTACGAATGCATCAATGCACGAGTCAGAGACACATCAGAAAGGAGCTGTTGGAACAAACCTATTATCTTCTATAAAATATCGTTTTCTATATAATATTAATTTAATTCTATTGTATAAATTATAGAAGATTAATTATATTTTAAATTTTCAGAGTCGCAATATTTAATTTTTAATTTATTTTTTTTTAGGCTGCCGAAGGTACAGGTCTGGCTTTCATTGTATTCACGCAGGCTATCGTCGAACTACCTGGAGCTCCATTTTGGGCCATAATTTTTTTCATGATGCTTCTGGCTTTAGGTATCGGATCGCAGATCGGAATGATGGAAGGAATGCTGTGCACAGTGTTTGACATTGAAATATTCAAAAGGATTAGCAAACAGTATGTCACAGGTATATGGGTAATTTTTTTTATATCGAATAAGAATAAAATCGACGTATGGTCCCAAAGTTTAAACTGAAAATTCCAAAATTACATTAAATACAACAATAAATACAACAATAAATATAACAATAAATACAACAATAAATAAAACAATAAATATATCATTAAATACAGTAAATATTCCAATCATAGATAGTAGGTTACTATCTTCAATGGCTCTCACGTTTCTTCTAACTCACACCATCATCTAGGGGGTAAATACGAGAAGATAAAAAAATATAATAATGAATAATATATAAATAGTTGTAAATGTATATATTAAAAAAATAATGACAATCTATAATAATAATAGTAACAATATCATAGGAACCTATACTGAATTGTACGGTACCAAGTTCTTGCAATTTGTTGTTATGTTCACAGATATTTTTAAAACTCAAATCAAAGTGACCTTAAATATCACCGTGAAATTAATAATTGTATTTGTTTACGAACTCATAATAACTTATAATCCTTATTACAACAATATATTAAATATTCTGCAAACTATAAACAATCTTTCAATTCGATACTCTAATCCACTTTGAGATTTTGTTTGTTATGCGTTACGTTTATTATTATTTTATGACAGAGTTCATATAAAAGGTAATTTAAGATTTACACAATTGCAAAGTATAATCTAAATTAGGCTTTTATTAAAAGAGATTAGTACTTCAATTATGTTCTTTTTTATGACATAATTATTGCTAATTATCAGTAGCGTATTTAGAATAGAAGGGCGGAAAATATGAGAAGATAAAGGGCGCATTTTCTTAACTCCTTATATTTTCCTTTGAAAAACTTTAAGGTAGTTACGTTATAAGAATAAAAAAAATAAGTACCTACAGGTAATATTCTAGGTCTTTAGGCCAGGATATAATAATTAAAACTACTTTATTTTAAGTTTAAGACGGTTTAATAACCTAACAAAGAGGTGTGTTCAGGAACCGATGTCTGACATGTTTGAAAAACGCTATTGATGGTAATATGGGTTATATATTTGATCCAAGTTCAGGTGAACGAAAGTTTAAACTGTGATTGAAAAACTGGCTCTTAGTGTCTTTACAGATTTAATTCTTTACACCATTAACAACATGTTTTAATGTCGAATATCTGGACAATAATACATCTTAATACTTTTTAAATACACTTAATTGTTCTTATATTTTTCAGCCATACTATGCCTAGTCTGCTTCTGCGTTGGAATGATCTTCACTACAGGAGCAGGGGAGTACTGGCTCAGTCTATTTGATTCGTTCGCCGGTACCGTTGGCCTGGTAGTAGTGGCTTGTATGGAAATGATAGCTGTCATCTACGTATACGGCCACGAAAAGTTCACCAAAGATATTTACGAGATGACCGGATTCAAACCAGGACTATACTGGCAGTTGACTTGGAGATACTTCGCACCTGTCATCATGGTGGTGATTCTTTTTTCGTCTATAGTACAAATGTTTATCGAGAGTCCGAAGTACCAAGCTTGGAGTAGAGAGGAGGTAATTATATTATGTATTTACTAATTTACGGTAAAATATCTGTTGTTTGAGCTTTAATTTTTAAGGGGGTGTTTTCATGTTTTCCTTTATCTTGTTTGGTTTAAGCAATAAACTTAATTTTAAAAATATTTTTTCACGGATTGGTCTGCACAAAAGTTTAAACATAAGCACTAAGTCTCGCAAGTATCCTCGACAAAAGTAGATATAGTTTGTTAATGCGAGTTTTAAAGAACAGGTATTGGTATAACCAGAAAAATTTGTTGATAAGAAATTTTCCAAACTCTGTTGGCTCTAAATATGCAGAAGTGATTATAATTGTCGGGTCCTAACGTTTGAAGCTGGACAAGTATATTTATGTATCGTACAAAGAGTTCTAGAAGTTACATAGCTTTGGCAACTCTTTTGTTGTGGGTGAGCAGGATTGTGAGTTAGATGTAACACCATCAATTCGTTTTGTCGAATAATGATCTTCACAATTGGTACCTATTTTTGGTTTCAGATTTTATAAAGGGTTATTGATTTAGGCGCCGCTGGGGGAATACATGAAATTACTCTGATACCAATCCTGGATTACTTTCCCCCAGCAAAGATACTCCGAAGATTAATCCCTTACCTGAGTCTGTTATTCCTTAAATACAAATATATTTGTATACCCTAAAGCCAAAGTCTGGGAACTGTATTGACATGAAATAAAATACTTTATCTTACTGAACTGTTTGTTTTAAGAAGTTAAAGAACTAAAGAGGTCTGCTCTGGTTTCAGGTGGAATAATTAAGGGAAGTACGGTAGGATAGCGATTATTGAAGTATCTGTACAATAAAGACATAGTTTTCATGGATATTACTATCGTCGAGTGGCATTACAACATACTTCTCTTTAGATGTATTGAGGCATTATTTAATGATCTTTTTTATGAATATCTTCAAGCAGAAACCAGTTTTTTCTTTCATTATCGGTATGTAGTTGACTTATTGTCTAATTCAACTATATGCGAGACATAGATTCAAAAGCTTGATTGTCATTATTTGAGATTTAGAATAGTTTCTTTGTTTTGTTTAATGAAGATAGAAGTTAAAGTGTTCTGCAATTATGGTGTATTGTGTATTTTTCTTTTTGTAGAAATGGTTGTATATGCAGTTGTAAAATTTATAACTGGCTTTAAGGTACTTATTCCTATACCGAATAGTAATTTATTGGAAGGTTGCACACACATGCTATATCCCAGATATGCGTGGTTGATGGTCTTAGGTAACCTAGATTTTGTAGATGACCTATACCAATTTTAGTAGCGAACACCTGATTTAACTTAAATTCTCAAAATTTAATAGAGCCTAAATATTAATTATTAATCTAATCTATTTCAATCTCGCCTTCTACTATACATATAGGCAACCAGTTAAACAAAGGACTATCTGTTTATATGTCATATTTAATTTAATGAACAATATTTAATCAAATACTTTAACATAGACATTTATATTATAAAAGAAATCTTGAAAAATATATTTTTTAAGGGCGATGTCAAACCAACTCCTTATCCTCCATGGGTTATGAGCATCGCAATCTCCATGATCCTAGCAGGAGTTTTACCCATTCCGGTTGTCTTCTTGCTCAGGAGGTACCAGATCTTGAAACTTGATGTTAATATCCATGAAGGATCAATCAGGAGAATAGATACAACAGTGTCAACAAAAGAAATGATCACCGACGTTGATGTAAGTAGTTTTGTGGTTAGACAAAGAAAAAGTATAGAGGTTTTGCAGCGGAAGTTTATTCATTTTAAAAAAAATTACGATCATAAGATAAGGCATTTAAAATTTAATAAGAACATATTGTCGATGCACAGTGAAAATAACAGAACTAAAAAATTGTTAGTTTTGAGGTAAAAGTAAATTTTTTATGAAATAATATTTAGAGTAATATAACTTTAATTACATGAAATGTTGATATTAATTTGGAGATTGCTGTTCAAAATACATGCCACACCTTTTGCTGAAGGCCATGGTTGAATTGGACCATAGTTTTTTCCAAAACGGAGCAGATACATAGAATCGACAGTCCCATATTTGTTGCAGACCTATCCTTCTTAAGAGATTGCCTAAACGACAGTATTCTGTCATCAGCTCTGTAAAAATGCGTAGATATTTCCCACTCCATTCCCAGATCAAAGCGAAAGCGTTCATGGAAAGGTTGGTTATAAACGCTTTTGAATGGATTAGTCCTGGGTTGTCTCTCCAGCATGTGAGTGTTAAGGTGCGTCCTCACCGACTCGACTCTGTCTATCGACGTTGTCGACTTTGTATGTACGCGGCAATCGACGGTGTCGATCTGTTTTCCATCGCCTGTCAGTAAACATGAAAGAGCAGTCGATCGACTTTAGTATGTGGACGTGTTTTTAACATTTGACATTCGACAAACTGTTAGTACTGAGTACTAAGTACTCAGTAACGTCTTGCCTTGTTGATATTGTAGTTGTATTTTCGTTGGAGAAATGGAACACAAACTGAGAACAAATCTATGGGATTCAAAAAACAAAAACTATAAGAGCAGAAACTTGAGGCGTGATGCCCTTATAGCAAATTGCTAATGAATTTAACGTCGAAAGGCAAGCGGTAGAACAAAAAATTAGAAATCTTCATAGTTAATTTGATAGAGAAGTAAAAACAAAAAAGGACAGCAACAAACCAGGCACTGGTACGGAGGATGTATATAAAAGTAAATGGTTTGCTTTTAAAAGTTCGAGATTCTTACTTGACAAAATATGCCCAGGTAGATGTTGTATTCAGAGGTACGTAGACTTTCTAAAACACCCTTACGCCTGTACTCAAGACTCAATATGTTGACGTCATCTTTTTTTTTAAATCTTCTTTTAAATTATTAGCATTGTATCTAGTTCTACTTTGAAGACTTGGTTGAACCCAAAATCTTCTTTTGCGTGCAAGTTTTCTTTTTTTAGTCGTGATAATATATGCGGCACAAGCAACTATAATGTCGTCTTCGTCAAACATGTTAATTTCGACTGATCGACAAACATTTCTGTCAATTCTGTTGTGGACAGATGCAGTTTTGTAGAATTATTGATCAGCAATGTCGATAGGCGGAGTCAATCGGCAGTGTTGATTCGGTGGAAACGCACCTTTACACGCTACGTCCATTTTGAGATAATTCATTTGGCAGTGCTCTTTGCAATGCCTAGGAATGGTCATGGTCCTCTAAACTTAGATTCGGTTCCACTTTTAGCGAGCGCGTCTGATTTTTTTATTGTCATCACACCGGTGTGACCCAAAACCCAGATCAAAGTAGTTTTGTTTTAGGCACCGACACACTCAAGGATATTTTCATTTCCAAACCAGCTTTGAGTAAACTCGATTGGAGCTTAGGGCCTTGAGTGCTACATCGTTATCCGAAAAGATCTTTATAGACTTGTTATCGGAGAGAAAATTATTCAACTCTCTCACTCCCAATCCCAAGATTGTGGCCAGATAACCTAGGTTAATTGAAATGTTTACTCTTAGTTTTTGGCCGAAATCTATCACTTCTCCTTCTTATTTAGTTTTGGAGCCGTGCGTGTACAGCGCATAGTCTATCTTTTAGAGGATTTTATCGCCCTGCTCCATTAATCTCTCTGGAATGACGACGCTGTATGAATTTTCTTTGATGCCGGCGAACTAATGAGTCTAAGACTCTGCCGAGGATGTGATGGTTAATAATCTCACTCATAACCTTCGTTTTGTCCCATCGCAGTTCATTTGATTAACTACCTACCTTTAGAAGTCTATAGGAGACCATCATGGCATCCCTTTCCAGCAAAATGTGGAGAGTAGGTCCAGCATGGTTTTCATCGCTTCCGTCGATGTGGTTGACATTGCCTCAGTGATGGCGAGGCACGCACGTTGCTGGTTTCCAGCCACCTTTGCTCTAACCGTCCGCTGACGTACCTTGTCCTACCAGGCGACAGAACCAGTTCGGTAAATCCAATAGACTGATCCACAATGCTTTGTCGCATATCCTTCCGAGCGTCCAGGCTTTTTTGATGTTTTTTTTTTCAATTGGGGTTCCCCGGTCAAAGTATGTTGTTAAAGCTTGTTGTGCTTTCTTCTTTTGGAGAAGAGGACGAAAACAGTTTTTCGAGGGTTAACAGACATCTGCTCTCTTATATGTTGAAAGTACTTAGGGCTTGTTGAAGGATGTTGGAGATCACTTATTTTTACTTACCCCTAAATATGATAATCAGATTATCCGCATAGCATTGTAAATCCGCCCCTGCTGAGAGAGATCGTCTAGCAGGTTATTCACCAGTTGAGGTTAAAGTACGGCCGCCTTGTTGAGATTGAAAGAACCAGTAGGCTTACGAACATCCGTTTGTCACCAGTGTAACAACTGATACATAGGTCTTTATCTAATGTTTTCATTATACTATTAAGGGATGAATGCAGTACTATCACCAGCCAAAAGGTCCTGGATTCCTGAAGGAACAATCATTCACCAGTACGAAAAAATAAATTAAAAATACAAATAAAAACAAACTAACCTTTTAATAGCATAGTCGAGTTTTGACAACTAGTAAAAGACTCCATGTAGTAATTAGAAGAAGGAACTCCGAGGCTTTACAAATTCTCGGAATATTACGTAACTATTTTTGGAAATAAAAATAATTTTAATTTAGAGAATTACTGACAAATTATATCACTGAAAAATTAAACTATATGATAATTATTAAGTAATAAATTGGAAAAATTGGCATTCAAATTGAAAATAGTTATTTGTCTCAGTACAAAACCAAACAACACATTTAATCAACATGTTAATAAAGATAATGGCCACATAATGGCACACAATTTGTTGAACAAAACTTTACAAATTAAGTTGCATCTGGACATAGGGTCTTGAAGGAACCGTCTCTATTAGAGCAGTCTTTCAGCAAGAGTGTCGGGCAGCAGTAGACTCTTTCTGTCGACGATTGGCTCTCTATTTAAATTAAAATTTACATGACAGTTTGAATATTACATTAAAAAATATTAACATATATTATCTCTTTCAATGAGAGCCATTGATTGGAATAATAACCTAATTGCTTTATTTGAACATTTTCCTATTTGAATATTTAGAAAGGCAACCAGTGCAATCTTTACGTACTTTAGGTAACGGTCGATTTTGTCTATTAGATTGTGCAGGGCATGACCTGTCGATTACTACATGTTACTTATTGAATTTTATATTCCAGTCTATAAAGGAATTTTTTTTTTTTATAAAAATCTATTGATCTATTGAACAAAGCTTCCGCTGCATTACCACGATCATTTTTTGTACATTTTTACATTTTCACATAATTCTATATTCTCGCACATACACATTTATGTATTCGCTAGATGTAAGCACATTTCTGTATTCTATGGAAACTATTCGAGAGTTCTCTAGAAAATTATGAATCGTTTATGTCATTTACTGACGATTTCTCTAAGCGATCGAAAGATTGAAATAAATCCAGTGTCTAACTTTGATAGTTTTGAATGCAAAAAAATACTAATGTATAATTTTAATAGGTTGTTCTCCGCACTTTCATAGTTAGGCATTCTTTATTGACGCATTTGATAATATGTCGTTCAGTTTTATTTTAAATCGGGCTTGGTTATAGAAGTTTGGCACATAATTAATATATTTTAGATGTTATGGGCTCCTACATTTATTTTTTATGATTTAAAACTGTTTTCAAAATTATCTGATATGAAAAAAACTTGAAACGAAGAAAATTCATAATTACTACTAGAGGGAGCGTGAAGCAAGTTTGTAGGCCATTGTTGTGTTCTTCATATCTATAGAGGACGTAAGCAAGCGGACACAAGGGGGAAGGTAAAATGCACTCCCTGATGCAGTGGCGTATCATAAAACACATTGTCCAAACTTTTCAATTGTGAAAAACTTTAAAAAATTCGTTAATTTTACTATTTTTTAATTGTATACCGTCTTATATGTCTGTTGTAGAAAATAAAACAAAATCACTGTAACGCTCTAATTTTTTCAATTAAAGAATAAATCCTCGAAATCGATATATCAATTTTTTTATAAATAAATAAAAAACGACTAGTTTTGGCTTTACAGGACCATCTTTAGGCCTGTAAAATAATAATCATTAAATAATATAAGAGTTGGTAGGTCACTTACGATTAAAATTAAATCATTAAAATGTATCCATATTGTAGCATTACAGTAATGTAGAATTAAAGATGAGGAAAAGAAAAAATAGATACGAAATCTACTAGAGTACAGGTGAGGTCAAGTGTTTCTTGGTCTGGGTTCTCAGACACGTGCACGAAAATTGGATCTCTTACAGACAGGGTTATAGATATTATTTATTAGGTGTCGTAAATAAGATTTAATTATCTGGAAGATTATTCGTTAAATGAAGGATTTTGAATTTAATAAGAATGCACTATTATATTTTAATAAATGGAATTAATAAATTATTATGGTACCTGGGTGCAGTAGTTTACAAGCTTTTATATTAATATTTTTGTATTTAAGGTCTTTCATACAATGATCACACCCCGATAATTAATTTAATTTTTTTCATGTATGGAATAACACGTTTTTGGCTAATTAAAAATACCTGTAATTGCCGTGTTTTTTTATAATTGTAACGTTTTATCTCATTCCTTCCTGTTTACCATTTCTTTATGTTATCGTTCTAAAACTACTTTTATCTCGGCAGTATTAGATGGTTTAAAACTTTGGAGGTTTTATAAACATTGGTTTATTTTGTAGACGTTAACTAAATGGTGTGCCGCTGAATTAAATAAACAGACCTACGTGATGAACGTCCCTTCCACATTATTGAGTCCCAGATAACAATTATACATTCTTAGCATATTCTTAGTATATACTTTTTAGAATACGCATATGCTGAGAATATACTGTATTTGCATTTGGTATATTCTCAGAATATGCTAAGCAGATGCTACGTGAAGTTGTTTATACGTGCTATGCAGATACTGAGAATGTACTTCAAGTATGTGTACAGTATACAACAGGTATCTACTTTAATTTGATAGTACATTCTAAGTATATGCTAAGTATTTAAATATAGCATATGCTAAGCATCTACTAGACACTTTAATACAGGATGTTTCATTAATATTGAACATTAAAGAATAAGTGTATATAATAGGTCTTTATTTCGAAGAATTTTTAATAACTTTAATAAATTATTGTTACGCAGCACCCTGCAGTAGCCTGTGGCTATCATAGGAAACGTACAGATAGAAAAAGAAATGGAATGTTACTCATCCCTCTACAGTGCGCTGCGGTCGTCATAAGTAAAAGTACACGTAAAAGAATATTCCAGAAATGTTCAGAAATGTCATTACCTGTCAAGAACATTCTAGATGACAGGTCGCGAAGGTTCGAGAAGGTCAAGAAAGCTATATAAGTCGACGACCTGACATCAGAGTTTAGTTTTATGATAGACGTTATACGTGTATGTTATCAGTTGTAAAGTTATTGTCCAAAGTTGAATTATAGTTATTGTAAAGTTCAGTTGAAATAAATTGTGATACCAAAAACCAGCGTAACATCAAATATAAAAAACATTTAAACAAGTACGGTAGTATAATTGACAAAATATTAATTATCTGTCTACTTAGGAGTGCTTGAAAATGGAGAAATGGAGTAATTGAAACTTTCGAAATCGGTTTATATAAAGGATAGCAGTGTTAGATTTAAAAGACCTTAATTTTTCCCTAATTTTTAGATTTTTTACGACCACTTCAGAAGTGTCAGAACTGGCGCTGTCAAACTTGGCAACGGTGATTGAATAAATCAAATAAAAGTGAGGGATTTCCCCCATCGTCGAATAGATGTTAATTACATTATTTTCTCGGAGACTGTCTACAAAATGTTAATTTTACTATACCTAGGTCAACTATTTACATAAAATAAAGTATTTTGTACGCTTGGTACAATAATTTTTATTTGATAAATGACAGTTTGGATTTAATTAAGACTTGTGCATACTTAATTATCACAGACATAACTCTTATCTGTCTTGCACGGTCATGGCCTAATTTAGAAACATTTTTTTTTCATCACTCCTCGCAAGTTTGCCTGTACATAACTGGTAGGGATCGCAAAATTAAAAATATTGTCATTCTATAAAAAGTGATTTTGCAACGTTACATATTTTGTTGGTCTATCGAGGAACAAAAAAACTTTAACAGTATCATTGAGAGCGATAAACGAATTTTATAGGCTCGATTTAAAAATAAAATAAACGGCATATCTACGATATTTTTTGAACTATCGAATGGTTTCCAATATTATGTGTAGTCGCTAACACTTGTACCTATTGTTGGTTCCGTTTAGGAGCAATTAACTAGTCCAGAAGGACCCTGTCGTACAACTGCGAACACGCTCAAAAATAAATTTACTATTGGGGATTTCGAAGTATAGAGTAAGTACTTAGGTTTGGATAGTTTTCTCAGTGTATAGCGTAAAATATTGTAACGTAATAGAAGTAGTTTTTTAAATAGTAATTTAAAATTTAAAAACTCATTTTCATCAAATAAACTTGTATGACAACTTGCCTATTTATGCATGGAAAAAGAATTGTCGATAAAAACTATTTTAGATTCAAAATTTACTTTGGAATCTAATATAAGAACTATAGATAGTTATTTTTACTTGTGGGATTGATTATTTTTATGAATTTATTTTGGTATGCAAAGTTTTGTTATTATATTTTCAAAATGTTTTTAAAAATTCGTTTTGAATTCGCATTTAATGGCACATTCACCAATTTTTGAAGTATTTTAGGCAACATATTTAACACGCATGTAAGTATTTTTGTCTACCAATTTCACTCACAATATACAATAATTTACGTTTACTGTGGATACCTATTTGTCTTTTAATGCACGAAGGTTTTCAATTATTATTTTTGAATGATTATTTAGTGTTTTTAACTGTGAAAAAATATGAGTATGGAAATTATAATATATAATTTTTTTTATTTTGATAAGCTTAACACATTTCTGGTAGACATTTTCATGCAACAATATTTTACAACCTAGGTTCTTTCGTTCGCTGTTGGTGTAATGTCCACCAGTGTAAATTACACCAGTTACACCACCTTTATTTACCTAGTTTACTTCCTCCTTATTCCTGATACACGTGTCGAGTGAAATTCACTCCTGCTGGTGGAGGAACGTGTAGTGGATTTTACATCAGACCAAACGAAAGGGTCGAAAGGTGCGTTGATTTAGTTCATTCCTACACCAGTGGGAGGAACGAAAGAATCTATTATTACTTAAAAATGGGATTTATAGCCTAAAGAGAACGTTTTATAGTACCTACTTATGTTAAAAGCTATTAACTTTTATTGAAAATTATAGTGTTAAAAGTAAGGAATTCATCACAATATATATTTTCATATACAGGGTGTCTCATTAGTACGTCTCATCAGTACGTCTAATTTCTCGAAATTTGTGTTATAGACAAGCAAACAAGTTTCAAATAAAAGTTAATCGGATTTAAAAATGGTATACTTTTAAAATATTTTTGGATATACAGGGTGTTACGCTTCTGGAGAATTTACATTTTTTAATCCTGTATTTTATTTCTGTTTTAAAATCATCTGGTAATACTGTACTCAACCCTACAATATTTTTTAAAAATATTACAGAGTTGTCAAGCAATTAACTTTTTTTGTGAAATTATCATAATTTAGGTGGGTGCTAGCAATTATTTTAAAATTGTTGAAATACCAGTCCAACGAATAGTGATAAAAGAACTAATTCATTTTATATAGATTGTCTTGGAACATGTCATAAATATAACTCATTTTAAATTCCATTTATTCAATTTTTTCAAATGAAACGCTCTATATATTATTTTGGCATTAAATCCTTTATTAATTTATCTATCTAACACAGAGGCGTAGCCAGTCATTTTTCATGGGAAGGGTTTTTGAGAAATATGGGGGGGTTCCATCAAGAAAGTGAATAAAAACAGTCAATAGCAATCAGCGCCAATACTATTACAAAAATGGTAACGCAAGGACCCTCCATGGGGTAGAAATACATTAGAAATACATTAGAAATACATTAGAAATACATTAGAAATACATTAGAAATACATTAGAAATACATTAGAAATACATTAGAAATACATTAGAAATACATTAGAAATACATTAGAAATACATTAGAAATACATTAGAAATACATTAGAAATACATTAGAAATACATTAGAAATACATTAGAAATACATTAGAAATACATTAGAAATACATTAGAAATACATTAGAAATACATTAGAAATACATTAGAAATACATTAGAAATACATTAGAAATACATTAGAAATACATTAGAAATACATTAGAAATACATTAGAAATACATTAGAAATACATTAGAAATACATTAGAAATACATTAGAAATACATTAGAAATACATTAGAAATACATTAGAAATACATTAGAAATACATTAGAAATACATTAGAAATACATTAGAAATACATTAGAAATACATTAGAAATACATTAGAAATACATTAGAAATACATTAGAAATACATTAGAAATACATTAGAAATACATTAGAAATACATTAGAAATACATTAGAAATACATTAGAAATACATTAGAAATACATTAGAAATACATTAGAAATACATTAGAAATACATTATAAATACATTAGAAATACATTAGAAATATATTAGAAATACATTAGAAATACATTAGAAATACATTAGAATTACATTAGAAATACATTAGAAATACATTAGAAATACATTAGAAATACATTAGAAATACATTAGAAATACATTAGAGATAAATTCGCAATAATTTGGCAACAAATTAACAATAAATTAGCACTTAATTAACAATCAATTGGTAACAAATTAGCAATAAATTAACAATAAATAGGCCATATAAACATTAATTAGCATTAATTAATTAGAAAAAATTGGCAATAATATACAGTAATTGACAATAATTAGGAATAATTAGCAATAAATTAACAGAAAATTAGCTATTATTAGCATTAATTAGCAATAAATTGGCAATAAAGTGACAAAAAATAGCAAAACATTTGCTAAAAATTATGCACTAGTAAACAATCAAAAATTTGGTTATGTCTTCGCTAGCTTGATCTCTTATGTTATTTAGCATCTACCATTTATTATGTGAATCAGTAAAAGTGCAAAATATTTATAAAACAATAGACATAACATGACTCTCTTCGAGGAGCCGAGCCCCTGCTATCTAGATGCACTTGAAGTATTTATTTCAACATAAAAATCCATTCATTTTTACGCAATGACATATCAGGAATTTTGTTTTGTTTGTCAGTGTAACTTTAGTTTTAGTAGGTGTTTAATTCATATAAAACAAACGACACAAATCGAATGCTTAATATGTTTTTTTAAGTGTTTATTATTATAAACGCCAAGCTGTAGATTGGCTGACGAAAGTATAGAGCAGTAATATAAGACAAACTTCCCCTTAACTAGCCCAAAGTCATATACTCCGACGATTCCAATATCTACCTTTTCGCTTTCCTAGAAGACAAGTCTACGAACAAACAAACAAACAATATCTCCATCCAAGCCCCTTTTAAACGAATCAGGAAATAGATCCTACAAACCATTTGGCGTCTACACCGCCAAGATCTTTTCAAGAATACCCCAACCAAATCTTCAACATCTCACCGACTCTCAAACAATAAATCTTCCACTCCCCGAAATTCTCCAGGACTTACCTTATCAGATAAAACCCACACACCCAAATAACCCAAAAATCCAACAATTACCAATACCAACGCACCAATTTGTACAGATTTAGGTTTTCATAGTTTCCTTAAATCATATTGTCCTCTATGTCTTGGACTTACTCCAAAGTAAATTGTAAATAGCAGAATTGGTGATTCCTATTGGGAACACAACCTACCATACTAGCTAGTCAGGTTACTAATTGTAATCAGGGCACACCACACTGAAAAGAAGGATAACTTTTATAGCCAAGACATGAGGAAAATACACTAGCTGGCAAAAAATTGTGGTCACTTTAAAATTTTCATGTTCATTGAAATTTTACGTTTTCAGATCATATTCGCAAACTGTACATCATTGCATGTGCTTTTGTAAGCTGAATGTGATACTCTATACTATACAGAAATGCATTTTTTTCTTGGATTTCATGATTTATTCTGAAAAAGCAACAAATTAACATTTTGGGCGAAATTCAACATTTTGTTGTTAGGGAAAATATGGAACGAACAAAATGAAAAAACTTCAGAATAATAACGTGTATTCCCTCCTCTTGCATTGATGACTGCTTGAAGTCGGCGCGGCATACTTTGAATTAAGTTGCGGATCACATTTTGGTCGATGTTATCTCATTCCTGCAACAGCAATCTTCTCAGCTCCTGGGCAGTTCTTGGTGCTAGTGTGTGTCTGCAAATCCATCGTCCCAACTCGTCCCAGACTGGGATTCATGTCTGGGCTGCGGGCTGGCCAGTCAAACTGCCTAAATTCTACCTCATCCACATACTCCCTGACAATTCTGGCTGTATGTGGTCTCGCATTATCTTGCATAAAAATGCCATGTTCCCCCATAGTCACCATGAAAGGCATAACATGGTCTTCTAGCACCTCCGTAATGTACCTGTGAGAGGTTAGGGAGCCATTTTCTATGAAGACCAACTCATTACGAGCTTGTGCAGTGATTTCCGCCCAAACCATAACTGACCCACCGCCAAATGGAAGACGCTCGTCAATGCAAACTTCAGCATATCTTTCCCCAGGTCTTTTCCACACTTGTCGACGTCCATGTGACCCAGTGAGATAAAAACGCGACTCATCTGAGAACAATACCCAGCTCCAGTCATCATTATTCCAACGAACGTGATCTCTGGCAAATTTCAATCTTGCAGTCCGATGCTGGCGTTGCAACGGGGGGACCTATAGCTATTCTTCTGCATGACAGTCCAGCAGCATGAAGTCTTCTTCTAACGGTTCATTCACTAACGTGGACATTTCTCACTTCTTCCAACTGATTTCGCAGTGAAACCGCAGTAGCTGTCCTATTCCGCAAACTTGTGGACACCAAAAAACGGTCATCTCGTTGAGTGGTAACTCTTTTTCGCCCAGACCCTGATCTTCTAGTGATCAGGCCAGTCTCCAGAAAGCGCTGGTACACCCTTTGCATACCACAAAGACTAGCACCAACAATTCTTGCAGTTTCACGTTGCCCCCGACCATCTGGTAACAGCGCAACAATTCTTGCCACAACAATTGGATCTAAAGGCATTATGGGCCTGTTAAATCACTACACTTTGCAATCGTTAGGTTTTACACAAAGAATCAACAGTAAACTGGAAAACAGGCAAGGGAAATGTGAATGTTCAATTAGCGTAAAGGCACATTTTTCATAAAAATCGTACAAACAGAGGGGGCTTTGTGTTCTAATAAATCAAATGTCAAGTCTCGGAAAATAATTGCTTTAACGCCTACTAATACTATTATGTCCTTATCAATATTAACGCTAAAATTATTCGCAATTTCTGAAGTGACCTCTATTTTTGGTTCGCCAGTGTAAAATGTATAAAAATGGAATAAAATATTAAAATAAAAAACTGGCTCACGCGATAAAATAGGCCTCATAGATTCAGTGCGCCTAATGCTTTAGGGCAGTGATCGCCAACCTCTAAATGTGTTGAGCTACTTTGTTAATTTTGTAATAAACAGCGAGCTACCCACACGGAAGCTACGTAACGCAAGTTAAATGAAATAATCCACAGTTAATTTATCATTATATGTATTTATTTTACTATTTAACTGGTAATACATAATACATAGGTACTAATAATAAACTAATAACAAAATAACTAATATTACTAGTACGTACTTGTTCATAGCTACATTCCTACCTACCAAACGAAGGTGTTTGAAAAATAAACACAAACTTTTATCCAGCCACAACGGCATGTCACGTAAGACTTAAAAATAGTTAACAATAACAACAAAAAAGTAACGCACTATCATGAACATAAACATTGAAAAATAAAAAAGCACGTTCAATGAGAAGGCTGACACTCAGACTCATCGATAAATTTTTAATGTTTGCAGTATAATTTGATACAGCCATTCGAATACAATTATCCAAATGTTCATCTGTAAGTCGATTGCGATATTTGTTCATAATAAACTTCATACTGGAAGGAGAAGATTCACACAAATAGGTTGAACTGAATAATGCTTTCACTTTCAAGACAACACGGCATAGAACTGAATATTTGTCTATACTTACAATAGGCCAGATACATTTAGTACTTGAGACTAACGATTTTAAGGCTAAATCATTTTAAAACTCAATTACTTCCATTTCTGTTGCAGCGATGTCTTCGCCAAAGTTCTGCATAACACAAGTTGCAAACTCATGGATATCAATTTCCATAAAGGGTGAAACAACAAACTGCGCTACTAAAGCCATTTCGTTGAAATCCTTAAAACGAATTTTGAAGTTATTCTTCAGGGTAGAAACTATTTCTACATGATATTTGCTGTCATAGGGCTCTAATGGATCTTGATGTATATTTTCTGAAAGAATAGGAAAATGCTTGGCATCGCTGTTACTTAGGTTTTGTTCCCAAAACTCCAGCTTTTTGATAAATGCTTTTATATCAGAAATCATTTCCGCTAGTTCTTTGTCTCTCCCCTAAAGCTGCAAATTAAGTTCGTTTAATTTCTCTGTAATGTCCACGAGAAAACCAAAATATCTAAGCCAGATTGAACTTTCTAGTTCCGGAGTCGGTTCATCGCGTTGTTTGAAAAATTGAACTATGCCAGATAGGACATCATTAAAACGTTTCAGCACCCGTCCTATACTTAACCATCGGACTTCAGAGTGAAGGAGTAGGTCCCCGTATTGACAGTCAACTTCATCGGCCAAGGTTTTGAATAATCTTCTTTGTAACGCTTGAGCTCTAATCTTGTTCACAATTTTTACCACCAGTTTCATAACGTTGTTTAGTTTCAGGAAATTTCCACATAATGCTTGCTGATGGATAATGCAGTGGTAACAGAGAAATTGCGGAAAAGTTTCATCTTTACGACATAACGCCACCAGACCCTTATCACAACCCACCATAGCTGGAGCGCCATCGGTTGTCAAGCCTACCATTTTCGATATTGGAATTTTCTCGGAAGAAATAATATTTTTTAAATTACAAAAAAAAACTCCTGTCCAGTAGTGTGTCCTTTCAGTGGAATAAACTTCAAAAGATCTTCTTTAATCGTAAAATCACTAAAAACCATCCTGACGAACACGGCCATCTGGGCAGTGTCAACGACATCTGTTGATTCATCCAGTTTAAGTGAAAAATAAACACAGTTATCTAAGTCAGTTCTTAACTATAAAAAAATATCATTGCTTATTACTTCTACACGTCTCACTCACTCACTGTATTAGCAGAAAGTTGCATAGATTTTATAGCTGAAACTATCTCGTCTTTATTTCTAAAGTTGGCAAATAACGAATCAGCAACTTCTAAAAACGCCTGTTTTATCATTTCCCCGTCTTCATAAGGTTTCTTTTTGTGCCATTATCTGGGACACACGGTACGATGCTTCAGTTGCATCCTTATTTTTGTCGACTGTTCTTAAAAATATTGATTGTTGTCCAATTAACTGTTTCAGTTTCTCCTTTCTGGCGGCAGAATGTAGTGGGAATGATTTTTTAAAATTAGAATGTACAGTTTTATGATGTCTCTCAATATTTTCTTTTTTAGCAACGGAGACCGAAGTATTACATAACAAACACACATTTTTATCTTTAACTTCTGTAATAAAGTATTGTTCTTCCCATTTCGAATGAAAGTGGTATATCTTTACCTTCTTAAAACTGCTTGCCATGATATTATTTTTTGTTTTTCTCTACTAACCCAACCGCTGGACGTTGGTTAAGCGTTCAGTTTTAAACTAAGCGCAATGTCGCCGCGCCGTCTGTATTTATCATGTTCAAAGCAATCCTGATCGTTCTCGAACACTAACGCGCTGGTCCGGTTGGTCGGTTATAGCCGATTCTAGCTTAATGGCGTCAGTGGCAGATCGCTCACTGCAACGTTGCCGCTGTTTATGTTTAATATTATGACAATTAAATTTTTTTGTGGAATTTTCGGAAGCTTCTCTGATTTTTGTAGTTTGTATTTTTTAAATTAAAATCGTTGTGAGAGGTACCAGAATTGCCTTCGCGAGCTACCGGTAGCTCGCGATCGACAGGTTGGCGACCACTGCTTTAGGGCAACCCACCCTTTTCAACTTACTGATATACGTTACTGAATGTCACTGAAATTTTGATAAATTTCCTGAGTAAGAAAAGTCTGCTCCAAGACCAAGCAGCGCAGGATAAAATGGCGCAGGACAAAAAAATGCTGGGCACAATACCGCAGGACAAAATAGCGCAAAGACAAAATAGCGAAGTACAAAATAGCGCAGGAAATAAAAGCGCGTCAAAATATTTTATACTAATATACCTAACCTGTGCGACCTGGAGCCATATACAGCAACCCGCCATTGCTCCAGGCCGCACAGATTAGGTAAATTAGTTTCTTTTGATAATTTTAATTAGAATACTAGCTTATTTTGTCACGCGTTAATTTATTTCACTGTTTTTTGAAATAGGGATAACTTGTCGCAACAAATATATCCCGTACGAAATTGTTTTGCGCTAAAATGGGTTGAATCCTAAAACGTAAGAGAGATAGAGTTACACTTCAAACATTCTCTGTGTAGGCGTCGTCGGAACAGCATTTGATATGCATTATTTCACTAAATTTCAATAATTAAAAAATCTATCTTGTTTGTTATTGCGCTATTTTGTCCTGTGCTTATTTGTTCTGCGCTATTTTGTTTTTGCTCCATTTTGTCCTTGTGCTGTTTTTTCCTTGCGTTATTTTATCCTGCGCTATTTTGTCATGGAGCTTGAAACTCATTATTCTTCGGTATTCTTTATACTCTTTGACGTCGTTGTTATGGCATTCTAGTTTAATAATTGTCATTGCATGCATTTGGATAACTTTTGTCAATTTTATTTGTCCTAATACTTTTTTCTAACGTTTCAGCAGTACGATGACGAAGACGAGGACGGATTAAGACCATACCACGATTCGGATTCATCAGATGATAACGGACCCCAACTCAACAATTCCTTTGGTCGAAAAATCCACATTGAGCTTTAGATTATAATAATTTTTAAGGATGTTTTTGAGTACAATTAATTGTTGTTGGTAGTTCGTTACACAGGCTGTTTATTAACAGGGTACACACACATACACACACATACCTACCTTATCGAGATAAAGTAAATTTAGTAAAAACTTTAAAAAATGACGCTTAAATTGCTTTCAAATAGACGTTTGTTAATAAATTGTAACTATCTAGTTATTAGATAATGTCAAAAGTACTGTTGTTAATAAATCAAAAAATTTAAAATAGTGTTAAATATTCTATAACTTGGTCGTTCATATGGTTTTTATATTTTTAATACCTACTTAATATGGACACAATTATTACATTTAATAGTTTTATACAAAGTGTTTCTCGAGATTATGCCTTTAACTTTCGTAATTATTCTTTGTTTATCCAGTACCTGATAGACCCTAGTTCTAAAAAAGTTTTGATATTTGTTTTTCAAAATAATTTCCCTTTTCTCATGTAGTTACAGCTACTTCATTTATTAGTAATCTTTTACGTCATTCTTCAACAAAAAAGTAACATCAAAATGACGTACAATTCACATAAATATGTCATAACCCAGCGTCGTCATTTTGTGACGTTATTATGACGTCAATTTAAAATGCAACTATGACGTTAGTTGTTTGTATACATAATAGTTATAATTAAACATTAAACACCATGCATACTGGAAATAAAATTACAGGTTACAGCTACGTCATTTATTAGTAATATGTTACGTAATTTTTCACCAAAAATGTAACATCAAAATGACGTACAATTCACATAAATATGTCATAACCCAGCGTCGTCATTTTGTGACGTTATTATGACGTCAATTTAAAATGCAACTATGGCGTAAGTTGTGCGTATACATAATAATTATAATTAAACATTAAACACCATGAATACTGGAAATAAAATTACAGGTTACAGCTACGTCATTTATTAGTAATCTGTTACGTCATTCTTCACCAAAAAAGTAACATCAAAATGACGTACAGTTCACATAAATATGTCATAACCCAGCGTCGTCATTTTGTGACGTTATTATGACGTCAATTTAAAATGCAACTATGACGTTAGTTGTTTGTATACATAATAATTATAATTAAACATTAAACACCATGAATACTGGAAATAAAATTACAGGTTACAGCTACGTCATTTATTAGTAATCTGTTACGTCATTTTTCACCAAAAATGTAACATCAAAATGACGTACAATTCACATAAATGTCATAACCCAGCGTCGTCATTTTGTAACGTTATTATGACGTCAATTTAAAACGCAACTATGACGTTATTTGTGCGTATACATAATAATTATAATTAAACATTAAACACCATGAATACTGGAAATAAAATTACAGGTTACAGCTACGTTATTTATTAGTAATCTGTTACGTCATTTTTCATCAAAAATGTAACATCAAAATGACGTACAGTTCACATAAACATGTCATAACCCAGCGTCGTCATTTTGTGACATTATTATGACGTCAATTTAAAACGCAACTATGACGTTAGTCGTGCGTATACATAATAATTATAATTAAACATTAAAGACCATGAATACAGGAAATAAAATTACAGAAGAAGCTGAAAAAATAATTACTACAATAAAAGCAAGTTCTCTATATATAAATTAATGACTTACTTAGGTTTTTCACGTCCATTGTTAGAGCATTATGTAGATCGTTACCAAAGTCACTAAATATGCTAAAGAAACTATTTTTATGCGAGAAAAATATTATCATAGTAGCGATTTTGTACCGTAAAACGGGGTTATTTTGTCAGGTTTTGACCTATTTTGGAACTCTAAGTCAGAAACCGTTTGGAAAATCAAACTTCTTAAAATTGTATCATTCCTTGTGCCCAATTGAGAATAGAACATCCCAATATGGTTCGTTTTCATGAACTGCGTGTTGGAAAAAAAATTGTTTGTGGGGTGCCAAATTAGGCAAATTTTTGGGGCTACTTTCGTAGCACATGTAAATCTTTTTTGCGCCAATAAAGCCTTCTTTGTCACCAAATATGGTAAAGAACGAATACACAAAAAGGCAGCTTTGAATTTGGTCCAAATATCTTCAATAGTTCCAAAGTTATTGAGGTTAGAATGCATTTCTTTTTAAGAAATCATTTATTTATCCAACCATTATAAAAATCTAACTAAAAAATTATTTATAAATGAAAATAAACATAAACTCTTAAGAAGTTTAATATGGAACATAAAAAACTAAATATTCAACACATCATGAAGTCTTTTACAAAGAAAAATCTGCATCACTATCAAAATCTTCATTTGTGCAGAGGACACATTCATAAAATTGGTCCGTGCTCGCCTCATTGTAAAAGATACAATTCCATTGTTTGCATTTCTTGCAACAAATCCAATCAGGCCCTGTATAATTCTCCCACTTTCTGAAGCAAGCTGCGCAGACATTGTCTGTCCTTTTAACAGCCCTTTTTTTTGCTTTCTCATTGCTTTTTTTGTAGAAACTGCAACTAAATTTACAAGTGCTTTATCGTCACTATAATTGTCACTAATGTTTGAAATGTTTTTCTGGGTCCCTGAACGGCCAGCGACTGGTTCATCTGATTGAGGAGCAACTGTCTTATGTTATTTACCGGGCTCTATTTTCTTGCCATGCAGATCTTGAAGCAGATCAATTAGACTGTCATTTAAAATAGCAGTTTGGGCATTTCCGTCATCGCCTTCTAATTTGCATGTCTGGAATTCTTTTCAGAACTTCTTGAGGATTGAAAGGACAGAGACCTGTGGCCCTTAATCCAGATTTTAAATTATTGGACACATTTTTAGTGACTGCAACCCACAATCGATTTAGGAGGAAAGGCAAATATTATTTTAGAATGGAGGAAGTTGATTTGGTTTCACTGCGCCATTTGTCTAGAAACTGACGCCACATTTTTAAATGGGACAAACACTGCGACATCTAATGGTTGCCTTAGGTGGGTGCTATTGGAAGGCGACGCTGTCTTGTAGATATTGTTCTCCTCACAAGCTTCAATGACAGAGGGTGAAAAATAAGAAGCTAAATTGTTCCCAACAACAATTTTTTTCCAGGATTTTCAAATTCTTTAATTTTGGGTAATACAATTTGGAAAAACCCTCTTTTTAAATTGGTCCATATTGAACCAGCCGCTGTGTTACTATAGACTGTTCCAGGAGGACCAACTTTTGTCCAACCTTCGTATAGATTGTCTGGCTTGTAGACCACCATAGGGCGTAATAAATCTCCTGCAGCGTTTCCAGACACCAATATACTGATCGTGGCCTTGGAATGCTGTTCAACTCTCTTCGCGCGTTTCGTTCCCCTTGGAACAATAACCTTTTTAAATCTAGAGTCATCTTGGACATTAGTTTCATCGAAAACCAAAGGGGGTCAATATCTTGCAAAACATCTTTAATGTTATCAAAAAATTCGCCAATTTCATTCCACCCTACAGTCGCACGTGTTCGCTTTATGTTTGTTGCCAAACGGACACTCAAATTATTCCGGATTCTGAAGTTTTTAAGTAAATCTTGTCCAGGAACATTGTCTTTAAATTTCTTAACGTTACGCCCTTTCCTTTCTAAGTATTTGTGGATTAATTCCTTTGTTAAAAGGAAATCCCCAATTGCTCACTGTCACTAATGTCTTTGTCAGTAATTGCTCTTCCTTAGGTGTAAATACTGTTCGATGACCTGGATTGCGCTTTTGCTGGCCCTTCAACTTATTTTGAAAGGACTTCAGAGAAATCTTTAACCGTTTACTGGTCGCTGCCTGACTCATGCCATTTCTAATGGCTGCCAACGCTTTTTCAAGGTCAGCTTCGGTAAAGTTTCTGTAGGCTTTTTACATATATGTATATGACCAAACTGCTAAAAAAGGCTAAAATGCCAAAGTAACCTCGTTTTACGGTAACTTTCAAATATCAAAACTATTTTAGAGCTTTATATACGCATTATTTAATATATGATGAAGCACAATTTGATTAACCCTTGCGCGGGTTACATATCTACTTTATTTTAAATAGCAAGAAGGGTCGACCAATAGCTTATTTGAGAGGTTTTGAAAGTCTCTATTTACCGGTTTAAATAAATTTATATTTGATTTATTAGTTTTTGAGTTAACTAAATTCAAAATGTAAGAGAAGCAACAAGAATAAACTTTTTTCTATAAAGAAGATAGATATAAGAGAACTTTTTGAGTATTTGATGTTAGTATTACTTTAAAATAATAAAGTAGTAGGTATCATGCAATTTTTTTTCTTTTGTATACTTTTTTTCAAATTGGAAATTAATTTAATTGACTCAAAAACTATTAAAGGAAAAGAATTTATTTTATAAAAAACATTTTTTAATAGATATAATAACAAAAATATGATTACATTTATTTACAATTAATCTATCTTGATTTGGTAAAATTATCAACAAATTTTTGGTACTTATTCGTTTTTATTTGTTTTTATTTCTTTTCGGTCAAGTAGAAGCAATTAAATTATTGTCAAGCTTCAGTAATATAGAAGGCAATAAAAGATCTTACTTGGAACACTGTGTATATCATGCTAAAAAAATCTACAAATTAAGGTTTTCATTTAAGCAGTCACCGAGTTTTAAAAGTTTTATAACCCCTTGTATATTAGAAATCTAACTGTACTCTGTTATTAAGAGTCTGTAAAATCTTATCCAGACAAAAAATTCAATCAATTAGAACACAACATGGCGTTTATTGTTTCTAAAATATCTATCCACCACTATATTTTCCTAATGTAAATCTGGATGAATTTTACATATTGATATTATCGTATTAATATTACAATGTTGTGATATTAGTTAGTACTATTAGATGAGATGATATTATTTATAGACAAATATTGCTTGTAAAAATAAAAATCTAACTAAATGGAATTCATACACACGTGATTCACGACAATTAAAATGACGGAATGTTCGAGTTTCTATGTCACTTCAATTATTATTATTTTATGTCCTAAACATAAATCTTATAATTAATGTCATGCTTGTCTGATATCGTTTTATTAAAAACTGTTTTTTTATTAATTGGAACTAATTGCACCAAAATACTTTATTGCATCTAATGTATTTTTGTGTTCGACTTTTGGATGTAATTATTTTATAATTTTTTCTGACGCATATGCCAAAAATATTTTATTAATATTTTTAGAGTCTACTTTATTTCTGCTAATAAGTACATCATTTGATGAAAGTATTATTTATATGTCAAATGTCAAATAGAATTTAGCAAATAAATTTACATTATTTGAGTTCAAAGTAATTCAAAATATGAAGGAAAATGTTAAAATGATATTTGGTTTGTAGTTGTGAATAACAAAAAGTCAACGAATATATATAAAACAAAATTCCTTAAATTATATTTTTGAAATTTGGGCAGTAACTGTTAACTAACAATCAAAATAGGTACTACAATTTTCAAAATGATTTCACTATCCTCAAAATTTTGTAATGAAGCTTCCAAAATATGTTCTTTCATTTCAAATTTTAATTTATAATATTATGTTACAGTCAAATAAAACTATGAAATTTGTTTCATAGAAGTGTCTTTGACTAAAAATTTTTTAAATATGTGTAATAAAGTTTTAAAAAAATTCTTTGACAAACAGTTTTTAAGGTCTTAATTAAATATGAATTTACAAAAAATCAAAGAATCAACATGGATTTAAAAAGAATTGCATTTTCCAAAGATGCGTTGAAATTTCAAAAATATTATCAATATTTAGGAATACCACGTAATTATATTTAAAAGAATATATGACAACTATTATAACTTTTAGTTTATAGTTTCCATACAACACAAAAAAATAAACAAACAAACCAACAAACCAACAAACCAACAAATCAACAAACCAACAAACCAACAAACCAACAAACCAACAAACCAACAAACCGAACAAACCGAACAAACCGAACAAACCGAACAAACCGAACAAACCGAACAAACCGAACAAACCGAACAAACCGAACAAACCGAACAAACCGAACAAACCGAACAAACCGAACAAACCGAACAAACCGAACAAACCGAACAAACCGAACAAACCGAACAAACCGAACAAACCGAACAAACCGAACAAACCGAACAAACCGAACAAACCGAACAAACCGAACAAACCGAACAAACCGAACAAACCGAACAAACCGAACAAACCGAACAAACCGAACAAACCGAACAAACCGAACAAACAAACCAAACAAATAAACCAAACAAAAAAACAGAAGAAACAAACCAAACAAACGAACAAACATACCAAACAAACCGAATAAACAAACAAAAACAAACCAAACAAACTGAACTAACAAACAAACCGAACAAACAAACTGAACAAACAAACAAACCAACAAACCAACAAACCAACAAACCAACAAACCAACAAACCAACAAACCAACAAATCAACAAACCAACAAACCAACAAACCAACAAACCAACAAACTAACAAACCAAACAAACCGAACAAACCGAACAAACCGAACAAACCGAACAAACCGAACAAACCGAACAAACCAAACAAACCGAACAAACCGAACAAACCGAACAAACCGAACAAACCGAACAAACCGAACAAACCGAACAAACCAAACAGACCGAACAAACCAAATAAACCGAACAAACAAACCAAACAGACGGAACAAACCAAATAAACCGAACAAACAAACCAAACAAAAAAACAGAAGAAACAAACCAAACAAACCGAACAAACAAACAAAAACAAACCAAACAAACTGAACTAACAAACAAACCGAACAAACAAACTGAACAAACAAGCTAACAAACAAACCGAACAAACAAATAAACCGAACAAACCAACAAACCGAACAAACCAACAAACCAACAAACAAACCGAACGAACCAAACGAACCAAACATACCGAACAAACCGAACAGACTAAACAAAAAACAAACCGAACAAACAAACCAAACAAACAAACCGAACAATCAAACAAACGGAACAAACGGAACAAACAAACCGAACAATTAGAACAAACGAACCGAATAAACAAACCGAACAAACAAACAAACCCAGCAAACAAAAACAAACCGAACAAACAAACCAAACAAAAAAACAAACCGAGCAAACAAAAAAACAAACCGAACAAACAAACCAAACAAACAGAACGAACAAATAAACCAAAATAAACAAACAAACCATACAAACAATCAAACCGAACAAACAAACAAACCGGACACACAAACAAACTAACCTAACAAACGAACAAACCGTACAAACAAAAAAACCGAACAAACCAACAAACAAACCGAACGAACCAAACGAACCAAACATACCGAACAAACCGAACAGACCAAACAAAAAACAAACCGAACAAACAAACCAAACAAACAAACCGAACAAACGGAACAAACAAACCGAACAATTAGAACAAACGAACCGAATAAACAAACCGAACAAACAAACAAACCCAGCAAACAAAAACAAACCGAACAAACAAACCAAACAAAAAAACAAACCGAGCAAACAAAAAACAAACCGAACAAACAAACCAAACAAACAGAACGAACAAATAAACCAAAATAAACAAACAAACCATACAAATAATCAAACCGAACAAACAAACAAACAAACCAGACACACAAACAAACTAACCTAACAAACGAACAAACCGTACAAACAAAAAAAACCGAACAAACAAACAATCCGAACAAATAAACCGAACAAACAAACCGAACAAACAAACTGAATAAACAAACAGAACAAACAAATAAATCGAAAAAACAAACAAACCGAACAAACCAACAAACCAAACAAACTGAACGAACAAATAAACCGAAAAAACAAATAAACCGAACAAACAAACAAACCGAACAAACAAACAAACTGAACAAACAAACCGAACAAACAAATAAACCGAACAAACAAATAAACCGAACAAACAAACTGAACAAACAAATCGAAGAAACAAACAAATCGAACAAACCAACAAACCGAACAAATCGAACAAACCAACAAACCGAACACACCAATAAACCAACAAACCGAACAACAGATTGTGTAACAAACCGAACAACAAACCGAACAACAAACCGAACAACAAATCCAACAACGAATCGAACAACAAACCGAACAACAAACCAAACAACAAACCGAACAACAAACCAAACAACAAACCAAACAACCAATCAAACAACAAACCAAACAACAAACCAAACAACAAACCAAACAACAAACCAAACAACAAACCAAACAACAAACCAAACAACAAACCAAACAACAAACCAAACAACAAACCAAACAACAAACCAAACAACAAACCAAACAACAAACCAAACAACAAACCAAACAACAAACCGAACAAACCATTTATTTATAACATGTTTGAGGAACATTTTCAGAGAAATAATTTATAAATATTTTATAAACTTGTGCTTAAAATGTTACATATATGTTTGACACCTTTGAAACCTTTGAAACATTTCTGAAACAATTCTGTATGCTGTATGGATTGATTATACCACCGTGTATTGCAGTGATAATACAACACTGTGATATTGTCACTTATTACTAACAATGCTTGTGTAACACAGCTAGAATTATATCTTTGTACCTTGTGCAAAACTAAATTTTTGAAGATTTATCATTTTTTTAAAAGAAACTTTAAAATTGCTCTAACATTTTCTCTAACTTTATTTAGCAGACTTTTGTGCTTAATAGAAGAAACAAAGTACTCTCTTTTATATGTTATAAAAATTCCCAATCGATCACTTGTTAACTAAACTTCAAAGTAGGCTGTAATTGTAAACTTAAAGGTACTTATCTTTATTGTATATATTGTAAAATAAATAATTATTTTGCTCAGAGTGAGACATTAAATGTGTTATTTTAAAAAAGAAAAGTTTAATGTAACCTTTAAAGTTTTGATGGTGTTTAAAACGAGATAAATCTCATGATGTTTATTTATAAAAACAAAGTTTGTTAGTGGATTCATTTAATGTGGCGGTCTTTGATTGACGTACTAATGAAATTGCGTCTTTTTACAGTAAATTAATACCGCAAAAAATACGTTTATGATTGGTGTTGTCTATGACTATAGCTCTGATCAAAGGCGTCCATCATCAGATCTAAAATAATATACGTTAACTTGAGGCGTATATACAAGGGGGGGAAAGGATAATTAACCACCTCTTCGACATGCTAGAAGAAATACTAAAATTTATTAAATTGTAACGAGAAAGCAAAAAACAAAATAATGACAGCGAATAAAATTATTTAACCCTCGAAAAATCTTCCCAGATCCTCGCCTAGTTAATTTTGTTTTTGTTTAAGTTCGGTGTTGCACGTTTTTCACCTCAATTCAATTTATTGCCATTTTTTACCCTCTATTATATCGAATTTGCGTTCGGAAATAACATTTCTCAACAAACATTTTGATCTGGGGAAATAATGGCCCAATAACTGTCTACCTTCAATTATAATGATAAACGTTTACCTACAAAGGGCCGGCATATATAGGTCACTACGGCTGTCAGTTGGGTCACAGTCATTTTGCCATCAGTACCAGTTACAAGGCTTTTAACATCCGATAGTCACTTTGCCATTATATAGTTAAAGAGCCTTCAATGACCGACTGCAGGCCCAAAATTGGATACTTAATATTTTAACGTTTTTTTGGTAAATGAAGGTCTAATTGGAAGAAAACGGTGCTTAAATTGCAGTTCATTTCAGTGATGATTATAATAATATAATAAATCATTGAAAAATTGGCAGTTAAAGCAGTTTTTTTTTAATTAAACATTCATGTCTTCTTAGGATTGATAGACAGTAAATGGTCCTTACACCATTGTTCCATAATTTTAAGTATGTTCTCAAAATTTCCTGTTTGTAGAATGACCAGGTCATCTGCATATGCTATTGTGTAGTGACTGATGAGGGTGCCGAGAACCATGTTCCACAGTAGAGGTGATAGCACCCCCTCCCTGTGGACATTACCTCTTATATTCACATCTTCTACACTTATGTTTACTGATCGCTTTGAGAGCATGTTATGTATCTACCCACTAACCATTTGTGAAACATTTCTGTTGATTAGTGAGTGTATTATCTTGGGAAAGGTGGTTTTATTAATAGCACCGAATATGGTTATCTTGGATATTATAATGACAGTAAACGACGGATATAGGTAGAGAAATCAAATTAGCATATAGTCCAAGAGACCATAGGAGGTCGACCTTCACCTATCTATTAACCAGATGAGGCCTATTTTTTATGAAATTTTATTGATTTATTAACATGCCTATATGAACTTGCCATTCGAAAAGTGTTCATGGCTATTTTTAATTAAATAAAGCAAGGCATTAGTATTCCATGAACAGTTTTTTTTTTCAGGCAAGCCTATACGCTTATTTTCGTAATTAAATTATCTTTCTTCTGATATCAATTTTTATTGGTTGACATATCGGTGTATATCTATATTGACTTACCTGTTCATACCTGCTCACAAAGCTGTCACGTTTAAAAATATTGATATTTCAAAAAGATTTAGATCTTTCGAAAAGATTTAAATCGTTCCTAAAATGATTTAAATAGTAAAAAAGATTTAAATCTAAAAAATATTTTTGATTTAAATGTTTTTTTTTAAATTGATCTTTGATTTAAATCATTTGTTCAAATGCAAACGATTTATGATCTTTGATTTAAAATGATTTTAAACAGCTCTGCCTGCTTGCTAGGTAGTCATGAACAAAAATAACTAAACAAGCCTACTGGTTATAAAAAAATTGAATAAAATTTATTTAAACGAATATAACACAAAATCTGTACCACATAAACAACTTTATTCAATTTTTTGATTAAGCGACTAGTTTCGGCCAACTGGCCATCTTCAGGCCTACAATATAAGAACTTATGTCTAAGGAGAAAAACATACAGATCAACAATACTTACATTCATATATAAAATTATCTTCTACACCAGATTATTGACATTGGACAGAATGAGTTACATGATTAATTAAAAGTATAGATGAAGATTATGTGGTAAACATAAGTAAAATAAATGTTATTAAAGGTTTAAATATTGAAAATTAGGAATTATAATTAACAAGTAATCACCGGTAAGGTGATCAGAAATGACGGGAGTGTGCGACATCCCTGTTAAAAAATTGAGAGGTGATCCAAAGTTATAGGAGTATGTGACATCCCTGTTGAAAGATAAAAGATTAACATGGTCAATTCTCAAATAATTATTTTTAAACCAGATAAAGGTTAAAAGTTGAGTAAATTTAGTAATAATTAAGAGCAAAATTTGAAAATCTCAAAATTATGTCTTGCAAGAATAGACAAGATGGCGGAAACCGGAAATGAAAAAGTAAAATTAAGTAATGTCATATGTCAATGTCAACAATGGCGCTAACAATTTAAATTAAGGTGAACAATAAGTTTATTAAAAAAACACAGAAATTTGTTTAAAAGGTAGCAATTAAATTGAAATAAAATAGAAATGATATGGATTAATAATAAGTAAGATATGCCAGAATATTAGAATAGAGATATCAGAGATGGACTAATTAATGGGTAAGTAAACAGCTTGTGCTATAAAACTGATGAAACGAGGCCAATTAAATATTAGGTTAATGAAAAGAAGAAAAAAGAAGAAAAAGAGACAGTAGAAGTATGAATAGACAAGATGAGAAAAGTAAATAAATGAAATACAATTATGAGAATGTAAATATGACTATTAAAATTGCATAGGTCAAATATGTTTAGTAATTGTGAGGATTAAGAAAGATATAGTTTTCTTTTGTTTGTATCTGTTCGTTAAGGCAGTTGTAATCTTTATTATTGAGTGCTTTGTGGATTTCAGATAGCTCCAATAAGTTCATTCTAGTACCTTTTGTGCAGGGATGAATAAGGGAAACACTAGAAATAGAAAAATCATGGTTGGTTGAAAGTATATGGTTAGCAAAACTAGATTGAGTATTACAGATGTCCGTGCCTTTATACTTATTGATATGATGACAATGTTCGCGGAACCGTGTATCTAGTCTGCGGCCACTCTGACCTAAATAGATGGAATTGCAGGACAAGCAATTGATTTGGTAGATACCTGATTTATGAAGTGGAGGAACTAAATCTTTTGTATTAATAAACATATTACCAATGCTACTATTAGTTTTAAAGGCTACTCTAATGTTATGTTTTTTGAAAACGGTTGAAAACATATAGGAAATAGGACCAAAGAAATGTAGTGAGCCTATAAATGAAACAGGTTCCGTTTGTATTGTACTTATATTGAAGCTAAGTTTGAATTTTGTGTATAGTTAGAAATAAATTTTATTTATGGCTTCGAGTGGATATTTATTATTAATTGCAAGTTGTTTTATGATATTAATTTCTTTAGAAAAAGCATGATCAGAAAGAGGTAAGGAAAAAGCTCTATAAAGGAGACTGTTGAAGGAGGCGTTTTTGTGCGAAGTGGGGTGATTGGAATTAAAATTAATAAGACAATCTGTGGTAGTAGGTTTTCTATATACTTCAAATTCTAGTTTAGGAACATTGGGATTTCTGATGATAAGGAGATCTAAAAAGGGGGATTCTATTATTAGATTCAAATTCAATTGTGAATTTAATCCTAGGGTGTAATGAATTGAGAAAGTTTAAGAGGTCTAAAGCTTCATTATGGGTGCCTTTAAATAGAACAATACAATCGTCCACATATCTATAGTAAAAGATGAATTTATTTTTGAAAGTAGGATTATTAATAAATTTGTTTTCAAGATTATTCAAGAATATTTCTGCTAGAAGGGGGGAAAGACTAGATCCCATAGCAAGACCTGTAATTTGTTTGTAAAATGTGTTATCGAATTGAAAAAAGTTTTGTTCTAATGTTAAGCCAAGGATTGAAATTAAATCAAGTACTAGGTGAGTGTCAATATTATTAGCAAATAAAAGATCTCTGACAAGGGAAATGCATTCTTGTTGTGGGACACTAGGAAAAAGATTTACTACATCTAAGGATATCAGAAAAGAATTATCTGGGACTGTGATATTAGAAATTTTATTAGCAAGATCAATAGAATTTTTAATCGAGAAATTATTATTAAAGTTTGTGGATTGTCTGAGTGTGTGGTTTAGAAAGGAAGCTAATCGAGAAGTGGGAGAATTAGTGAAGCTAACAACTGGTCTAATAGGTACAGAAGGTTTGTGTATCTTTGGTAGTCCATAGAGGAGTGGGGTAACTGGTATCATATTAGTAAGATTATAAAAGTTTTTATTGAAATGAGAAAGAGTATTTGAGAAAATTTTTAAGGTAGATTTAACTTTAGAGTGAAATGTGATGGTAGGATCTTTAGTTAGCTTTTCGAAAGAGCCGTCAGAGGTGAGAAAAGTTAGAACTTTTGTATTATATTCTCCTTTATTGAGTATAACTAGGCAATTGCCTTTATCTGCTTTAGAGATAATAAGGTTATCATCTCCACTTCATAAATCAGGTATCTACCAAATCAATTGCTTGTCCTGCAATTCCATCTATTTAGGTCAGAGTGGCCGCAGACTAGATACACGGTTCCGCGAACATTGTCATCATATCAATAAGTATAAAGGCACGGACATCTGTAATACTCAATCTAGTTTTGCTAACCATATACTTTCAACCAACCATGATTTTTCCATTTCTAGTGTTTCCCTTATTCATCCCTGCACAAAAGGTACTAGAATGAACTTATTGGAGCTATCTGAAATCCACAAAGCACTCAATAATAAAGATTACAACTGCCTTAACGAACAGATACAAACAAAAGAAAACTATATCTTTCTTAATCCTCACAATTACTAAACATATTTGACCTATGCAATTTTAATAGTCATATTTACATTCTCATAATTGTATTTCATTTATTTACTTTTCTCATCTTGTCTATTCATACTTCTACTGTCTCTTTTTCTTCTTTTTTCTTCTTTTCATTAACCTAATATTTAATTGGCCTCGTTTCATCAGTTTTATAGCACAAGCTGTTTACTTACCCATTAATTAGTCCATCTCTGATATCTCTATTCTAATATTCTGGCATATCTTACTTATTATTAATCCATATCATTTCTATTTTATTTCAATTTAATTGCTACCTTTTAAACAAATTTCTGTGTTTTTTTAATAAACTTATTGTTCACCTTAATTTAAATTGTTAGCGCCATTGTTGACATTGACATATGACATTACTTAATTTTACTTTTTCATTTCCGGTTTCCGCCATCTTGTCTATTCTTGCAAGACATAATTTTGAGATTTTCAAATTTTGCTCTTAATTATTACTAAATTTACTCAACTTTTAACCTTTATCTGGTTTAAAAATAATTATTTGAGAATTGACCATGTTAATCTTTTATCTTTCAACAGGGATGTCACATACTCCTATAACTTTGGATCACCTCTCAATTTTTTAACAGGGATGTCGCACACTCCCGTCATTTCTGATCACCTTACCGGTGATTACTTGTTAATTATAATTCCTAATTTTCAATATTTAAACCTTTAATAACATTTATTTTACTTATGTTTACCACATAATCTTCATCTATACTTTTAATTAATCATGTAACTCATTCTGTCCAATGTCAATAATCTGGTGTAGAAGATAATTTTATATATGAATGTAAGTATTGTTGATCTGTATGTTTTTCTCCTTAGACATAAGTTCTTATATTGTAGGCCTGAAGATGGCCAGTTGGCCGAAACTAGTCGCTTAATCAAAAAATTGAATAAAGTTGTTTATGTGGTACAGATTTTGTGTTATATTCGTTTGAATAACTCGACCACATTTGAGAATATGGATAATCTTTCGTCAAAATTTATTTAATTTAAAATAGGCATGAACACTTTTTGAATGGCAAGTTCCCATAGGCGTATTATTAAATCAATAACATTTCATAAAAAATATGCCTCATCTGGTTATCAGATGGGTGAAGGTCGACCTCCCATGGTCTCCTCTACTATTAGGCAGGATTTTGGAAGCTAACTTCTAAAAGCAAAAAATGCAGCATTATCTTTAAACAACAATGTAATAAAATGAGCAATTTTAAACAATTATTGCTTCCAAACCTTGATCTTTACGAAATCAAACCTCGATAGAATTAACCAAAATATAAAAGCTATGGATTATGAGAAATCATACATTAGCCACTTATAAAACCAGTTGCGTAATGCTTTATTTAATGTAATGACTTATTGTTTGCCGGACGAGCAGAGCGAGGCCCTGCAACATGTACGAGTTACACAAAACTGCATTTTATAACGTGTTACATACAATATTTTTTCTAATTTTGAGTAAAATTTAACTAAAATCGTGTTTTGGTTAGGAATTAGTGATATTTAGGCAACCAATATTACTGTCTTGTATTATTAGTTTTTTTTTCTCTCTCCTGGGCTCGTCTGACTATGTGTCTCCGAATAACACTGAAGCCTATTGGCTTATTGTGTTTTACCCCATGTTAGTTCATAGCACCCACTCTATCACCTTTGTACCTTGTACAAGTTTGTACAGATCCTTGGGTGAGTGGGTTCTATACGTTGTTGGATCAACCTGGGGTTGTCCAATAAGAGCCTGTCTTTTGCGATCTAGAGCTTCGCATTCGCACAGTATGTGTTTGGCCGTTTCTGGTTTCTTGTGACATAGTCGGCACATGAGTTCCCCATTGTACATGCCAATTTTGTTCAAGTGTCCCTTTACTGGGGCATGCCCAGTTATGAACCCTGTTATCACTTTCAACTGGTTCCTATTCATTAAGAGTAGTTCTCCAGTTCTTTTGGGTCATGGTCTGCCTATGAAGGCTTTTCCATGTGCCTGTTTTGGGGTGCTTCCCCA